GAAAAGTCATGCAGCGTGCGTAGGCCACGTGGGGGATCTAACAAATAATTAGTATGACTGTATTTTTGTCAAAAAAAAAAAAATTAAACAAATAAATTAAATAATTGTGTTTGGTTATACACAATTTGATGAAGCAAAGTTTTGCTTTGTTTGATGTGAGTCCGCTAAATTTTGCAACTGGGCAAAGATGATCTAATTTTACGCCATAAGTTCAATAACTAATATGACTTTTTAGTGGGTTGAATGATCTTAAGGAAATGTATGATAGGGTCATAGGGAAATGTCGTGGAAGAAATTTGTGTTATGACATGAAAAAAATGGTGGAACACGGTTTTTAACTTCAAATCGAATTTAAGTATGTTTTAGACTACAAATCAACTCAAAATAGAATCTTATCAAAAACTGAAGGTTGAGATATCAAAATTTGATGGTTGAAAATTGTACCTTATGGATAACTACTCAAGAATTCTCCAATGTTTATGGTCTCATTTTCTTATAAAGTTTTAGATATCAAATAATGTGATAAATATTTTTTTTAAAAATATATAAATGGTAAATAATATTTATTAGTTGTGCATATTAATTTGTATAGCTAATTAGAACCTGACAAACGAATTATCACGCTACTTAGTACTTACAATTTGACAAACAACTTGGTAATTATCTAAGTATCATTATCTCAAAAAATGAATAATCCAAGTACTATTCTATGTTTTGATTTGATAACCCAAAACCACACCTTGCGTCTATGATATTGACGAGTAATGTTAGTATTTATAGTCTAAATTTTCATCAATTAAGGAATTTTTTTGTACAATGTATGTGAAGAACTAGTTTGTACATGCATGTGGAAATGTGTGATATTTGTAAAATTGTACCTATGTCACTTTCAAAAGTATCCAGTAATGATAATGAAAATTCTCACTCTTAAATTATACATAAAGGGCTTGGACAAAAGAGCTCTTCCAAATAGTTTAAAGCCTTTCAAGTGTGTAGTTATAGTTAATCATACATACTAATACTATACTTTTCTGCTAATTAATCATAAATGATACTATAGTGATTTATTAAAGAACTCTTTGTTGCCTTTTGTTTACTGGGCTGGGACTTGGAAGCCGTTGGAGCATGTGATGCAAAATTTGACTACTACTAATACTATCTACTACTTCTGACTTGACTGCAATTTTGCAAGTAGAAATATTAAACTATAAGACTGATCATGTGACTGACCACGTGAATCCAAAAAGAGTGATTATCATTTCATGTTCTTGATCATGGTCTTGAAAGGATTAATATTAAACAAAACTCTTACTTAAATACCTCGAAATTCGACTAACCCAGTTACCATTAGCTGGTCAAGATTTTGGTTTTAATTGAACATTCTTCATAACCTTCTCGAATCCAAGTCGCTTATTTGTCATTTAGAAATTAACTTTGATAATTAATGAATTCCGCTAAAATTATTAACCACCTTTGTGTTTTTTAGTCTTACCATCTTCTGTGTGAAAATATGAGGAAACCTGGCATGTTTAATTTGTTTAAGGACATCTGTTCACAAATATAAAAATATCATGTGTGAGTTTTTGACTCTATTAGACCTTATTAGCTGGCTTTTGTCAGTTAAATTAGAAATCCCACTTTATTCCGTTAAATACTTAATAGGATATATATGTACATATATATATATATATATATATATATATATAGACACACACTTATACTAGGTAAAGGATCTATTTGTTTTCCCAATGATGAAAAATGAATATGTTTAGGATAAAACATGAAATTCAACAACATGAGGAAATTTTATTTTCAATCCTCACATGTCTGAACCAAACCACTCGTCTTTATTTTAAAAAGAAAAATGGCTAGAAAATGGTGATCCTTAAGTTTATATAATATGCAACTTTGCATCTCCAATGTGATCTTTTCTGTTTTTTTTTTTTTTTTTTTAAGGAAGAGGTAGAAGTGTAAATTTGCGCCGCCCGGGCTGAGCCCAAAGACCCGAAGGAAAATTTTAGGCCAGACTGAGCCAACTCTAAAAGAGAGAGGGTCATCCTAGTCTGGCCCTAAGCCCAAAAAGTTTAGGGGAATTTAATATAATATTTTCAAAAAATCTTTAAAAATATGATATTTGGATCGGGCTGGCCCGACCTTAAATCAGAGAATTCGGCTCAACCCAGCCCTCAACCTAAAAAATTTAGAGTCGAGCCAACAGTGGCGGATCTCGGACCAATCTGTTTAGCCCTGCCTAAATTTACAACTCTGGAAAGACGTCATTTCTGTTGAAAAGGGACCCTGGCGTAATTAACCTCTTTATGCTCGATAGCCTTCTCCAAAAAGAAAAAAGAAGGAAAGGGTTTGAACTGTGAAAATGGTAATATGTATTTGATTAAAGTTAACTAAATTGTATTTTCTAAGGCTAGTATGGCTAATAAGAATTATCGACTTTTTTAAAATTCTCAAAAACAACGAAAAGCAAGGGATTTAAATATCTCAGTTGGAATGGAATTCAAGGATTTGGATCTATTTATTTTGCATTTCTTTCATACATTCTTTGTTTATATTTACTTTTCTCATAAAATCTAAATTTTTGTTCAAATATATCAACCAAACAAACCCTCAAATTCCCTTTACTCATTAACATGTTAGCTTTCATGATTTTTATGGCTGGCCACTTATTGTCCAACAAGATTGAAAAGGACTAATGGATAAAAAACGACATCAAAGCTAGAAATCGATGACTAAAACAAAAACGACAAAAATGTGAAAAGACGACAAGAAGAAAAGGCATCATCCGAAAGAACGACAACGTGGAGCAGCAACAGTGTACAGTATTGTGAAAATAACATGTAACACATGAAAACGACAACTACCTAAAAACGACATCAAACTGTGAACAATATTAACCTTAATGCAATAACTGCTTTTAAAATAAATTTTGGGATAAATTGACACAACATCAATAGTTGGAGGGCATTTATAAAATGAGAATTCATGTTGTGTTGGTCTTTAAATAGTATTATATATGAATGTAGACATAAGAGAAGTTTTGAAACACTTTAAAAGTTTGTATGCTGAATTGTGGTACGTAATTCAAGGTATGTTTATTAAAGAAAAATGTTTTTTTTTTTTAATCTTAATAAGGCGGCAACCCCTCGTTCACATGAGGTGGTCTTCACGTATTTAATAGTTTGTGTTTACATTAAAACGGTATCTTGTTAAAAATTCATTATATTTTTTACATGAAATGTCCTTTATTCCTTCTACTTTTTTATTTAATTTTGCTTAAACGTAAAAAAAATACTGAAAATATCATTATGGATATTCGAAGACAATATTTATTTTATACTTTTGATGTTTTTTCCTTAATTTTGGACCATTTAAATATAAATGAGAAAAAAGGTTAAAAAGAAAATATTTCATATCTAAACAAACAATTTTAGATTATCAGGATGACATTTTTTAATATGTAGGTACAATTTTAATATTATAAGAAAATGATTTATTTTAATTTTAGTCTTCAAGAATAATCTTTGTCTCACTTTACCTCTTAATTTTGTAGGTATCACACTATTAGTAAAGGTGTCAATTGGGTCGGGCCGTCCATGCCTGTTATAGTGGTCAATTTAGCACGGCGGCCCACAACCCAGGCCCACCAAGGCCCAATCACGCGAAGGGCAAGGCATGGCCTAGGCCCGCGAAAGGCTAGGCATGGCCCACGACATGAAATTTTAATGAGGTTTGAGGCATTTTAGTGCAAACCGATCGACCTATGTCGTCCGGTCAACTAGTCATTTTCTTGTAATTATTCATATTATTTCAATAAAATCACATTTTTTTGGGGCATATGATATATTACATTTTTTTTGTCATCAAATATGAAATTATAAAAAAAATCCTAAAAAAATTGTTAATCATAAGTGAAACTCAAGTGCATTAAGAAAATTAGGTTAAAATTGAGTTTTGAGGGGAATCTAGTGTAATCCGATTATCCGGTAGCGTAGAAGTTATAAGCCATTGGTTGACCAGTGATGCCTCTACCGGTCGATCGGTGCCTTCTCAACGGCCATAAATTAGACTAGTGAACAGAGCATTTAGTAGGGACGGCCCAATAAAGTGCTAAAGGGCCGGCCCTATGAAGGTCCTACAAGACCATTAGTAGGGCCGGCCTATAAGGGCCTGGGCCAGGGTTGTGTCTGAGGGTCTCCCCTTAGGCTTGGCCCAAGCCCTCCCTCTACTGTAGAGGGTCGTGCCTGGGCTGGCCCAAGCTCGTGATAGGTCTAGGCCAGCCCAAGCCCGTGACGGGCCTAGGGTTAGAAGCCCTTTTGACACCTCTAACTATTAGTATCTTAACATTATAAACATCACAATATCTGACCCTCTGTGACAGTGCCATTGAAAAACGAATGGAATGAGTATATAAAGTGCATATAAGTAGGATTGTTAATTAAAAATGCCATTAATAATGTCCTTAGTCTAAATTATCTAATTTAGAGGCAAAATTCTTGAATCCTAAAATTACATTGTTGAGAGAGGAAATCACTTGTCCTTCATCTAGTTACAATAGATCTACTTCTCGTCCATTGCAACTTGAAGATAAAACACCTAAATCTTTAAAATGCATTGTTGAGGGAGGCAAAATCCCAAAATTCCCTAGTTGTTTTTTTTATTTTCCTAGGATTTTTTCTGATAGTCCCTGTAAAAATAAACTAGTATCTTATTTTTTAATTTTTAGATCTATATCATAATTTATTTATTATGCATATTTTTTAATCTGATATAATTTTAATCAAATCTAATAATAAAAAATTAAGATTACTGTAGAACAGATTAGGTGAGAAACTTCTTTTTTTTTTTCCTTTTTTTTTTTTAGAAATCTTATCGTATTTAGGTTTTTTTTTTTTCAAAAAGAAAAAAAAAAAACCCAAATCCCAAGAGTTTGACGTAATTAAGGATAGAAAGCTCCATGGCCAAAAAAAAAAAAAAAAAGAAAAAAAAAAAAGAAGCCTGGATCGTTGCGATTCGTCTATAAAATGGTTGGGCCTTTTCTTTTTCCCTTCCATATTCACACAACGAAACTCAAAACAAAAGGACCTCTAAAACTACTCTTCTTTTGTTTACTCTTCATTCAGAGCCTCTACGAAACCCAGCTTTTCTTCTCTCCATACCCAAATTCCCACAGAAGGCACAATCTTTCATGGTTAAACTTAGACCCGTCTTAGACATTTCTTGTTGGGAAATTTTCACTCGCGAGGCTTAATTTATAGTTTGTCTGATTGTCTCTGAGGGGTAGGATTTTTGTTTCTGGGTACTTGGAATGGACTACAATGGCTCCGACAGCAGCGGTGAGTTGGCAAAACAGTGGTTTCGGAATTTTGTCGGCTTATTCTTAGCTATTCCGCAACTGGGTTAATGGGTTTTTTTTCTTTTTGCTTTTTGGTTTGTTCTTTTCCTGTTCTTTTGATTTTGAATTCGTTGTTGGGTCTATGTTTGATTTGGGTAATTGGGTTCTTGTTTCTGTATGCGGTGGATATGTTTGAGGTGTGAAGTGCTTTTCTGGAGGGAATTAGGGTTTTGGAGGCTCATTTGAATTTATCTACTGGTTTAGAGGGTTGAGTTGAATAATGGGTTTTGTTTGTGTTACTCTTTAGTTATTTTATCTGGTTCATTAACAAAAATTCAAAATTTATGGCTTTGGTTTTTGGTTATCAGAATGTGTTTCTGGGTTTTGTCCCTTTTGTGGAATATGTATATATGTTTCTTGAAGTTGTATCTTTACTCATGTATTTATCATGTATTAGTTGCTATTCTTGTACATCTTGTGAAGATGAAAATGAAGGGAAGTAATATAAACTTCCAATTTATCATGGGGTTTAGTTTGATGGGTAAAACCATGAGTTTGTCATGGTTACTGAGAATTTAGACCGATTAGACTCGTAGTTGTAGCCTTGGTAGAAACAGAAGTTAGATATCATACAACTTAGTTCACCGTTTTTTCAACTCCCCACATTGCAATGCAAGTAGGCTAGCATAATCCAGTGATGCTGGTCAGCCTGTTTAGTTGACCATTACGCCGAGCTAAACGACTTACTGTTGAAATTCTAATTATTGTGTCAAGCACTATTATGAAAAGGAATCTGGATAAGAAAAGACATTGTAGGTGCCAGGAATAAAGTAGGAAAAGAAAAAAGAAATAAAAAAAACTGGACCCCTGGTTTTCTGACTAGATAAATTCAGTACTGATGTCCAGATATTTGCATGAATATACTTATCAGCCATGTTTGGCTTTGGAGTTTCTATATTTAAGTTATTAGTTATATTAATAGCATCTAAAGTAACTAAGCCAACCCAGTTTTCTTCCTTCTATGGACTTAAGGCCCGTTTACTTCGTTGATTCGAGTTTAGAATTCGAGTTGAGATGTGACTTTATGTGAGAGCTTTTTACTGTAGCAAAAAAGTTAGATGTGATTGTTTGTGAGAGCTTTTTACTGTAGAAAAACTCGAATTCTAAACTCGAATCAGCGAAGTGAACGGGGCCTTAGTTTTCTGCAGGATTTTCCCTTATTAAGTATTTTCAATCTTGAAATTTATTGTAAAAACGTTTCCAGGTTACACCTAAAAGACAATTTGAAATATAGAAGAATAAATCATGACATACATAAGAAATAGGAACAGGAGAGTTATTTATGGAACATCATCAAAACATCAAAACACAGTAACACACCAGTAACCAGCTCGTCAATGGGTGCTCTAACCATCTGGGTGAAACCTTTTCATTGAGATCATGTGTTTGTTGATATCAAATAACTGCAGGTACTGATGATGATCTTCGTCCATCTCATCAAAACAGAATTCCAAGGGGGAGTAGAGTCTCAGGGAACGAAAGGCCTGCTGTAACTTCTACCCCATTCCCTAGGATGTACAGTGACATGGAGGCCCAAATTCACCACCTTGAGCAAGAAGCATATTGTGCAGTCCTACGTGCTTTTAAAGCTCAATCTGACGCCCTTACTTGGGTATTATGTTGTCTTTGTTTCCGTGTCTGTATATGCTAGTTAGCTTAGTAATATCTCAACATATTTTATCAGTCGGGTTTAGATGCTTTAATTCATATCTATTCTTCAGGAGAAAGAAGGTTTGATAACGGAACTCAGGAAAGAGTTGAGAGTTTCGGATGATGAACACAGAGAACTACTTACGAGGGTTAATGCTGACGACATAATCAGTAAAATAAGGTGCGAGTGTGTGCGTGTCTTAAAGTGGCTGTGATATCAGGAAACAATGATTAAATTTCAGGATGCTATTTGTCTCTATTGTTTATGCCGCTGTGTTTTGGCTGTCATCAGAGAGTGGAGAAAGTCAGGGGGAAATCAAGTTTCCAGGCACAATACCTCGCAGGCTGCCTACGATGTCGTACCTAGTCCTGTTTTGTCATCACGCAAGAAACAGAAGACAATCCCATCGGTAATGCCCTTAGGCCATTGCTAGCTTTCAAATTCTTTGTCTTCTCATGTAAACCATGGGGCTCTTTCAAGCCCATGAGAAAAGCTTAATCTGTTCATTTGTAAATTACAACATTAGTGTTCAAAGATTGCAGATTTACATAAATGTGGTTTGTTTCCATAAGTAGGGTCACCAGTTTCCAGGTTTACCCTCGACGAAATCCATGCAGTCCCCAACAGGACCTGTTATGAGTAGACCATTCATGAATCGCAGTAACTCTGTTGTCCGTGCTACAACGGAATTTGCTGATGCTTTAAATCTTGACGCATTAGTTGGAAGGAAACTGTGGACAAGGTGGCCTGAAGATAACAACTTCTACGAGGCTATTGTCACTGCTTATAATCCGGCAGAGGTTTGTTTTGAAGTTTCTAAAATTTGTTTTTATTTCAAACGTCGTTCTGCAGTATCATAAGGTTTTTACAAATGTCGCAAACCTTAAAAGGTTTTGTAATTGGTTATGTTTACTAGGCTTCACACAGCACCCACCTTCTCTTGTTTAATCTTATACAATTTTTACATCAAATTTAAATGCCCGGTTTTAAGTGCCTTGAGATTGAAACATTGGTTAACGGGAGTAACATGGCCATATTTTACAAAGGTAGGCCATGTTTAATAGTAGATTCCTCAGGCATTATCCATTATGTTATCTTTTCGTTATTTACAGGGGCGGCACGCTTTGATCTATGATATGAATACAGCACATGAGACCTTTGAATGGGTTGACCTTAAGGAGGTATGTCTCATGCTTTACATTATGTTCCCAAACAACCAATATATTTCCCTAGAAAATTGCTAAACATTCCAGCTCGGGTGAGTTGGGATGTAAGATACGGGGTGGGTCCCACCACCATGTAGGCCCACTCCATCTAATCTCAACTCCAACCCAATTCGGGATATTTAGGCCCCGTTCATTACACCAATTCGAGTTTAGAATTTGAGTTTTGTTACAGTAAAAAGTTCACAAAAACAGTCACTTTTTTTTTTGCTACAGTAAAAAGCTCTCACATAAAGTCACATCTCAATTCGAATCAACGAACTAAATGGGCCCTTAGTGGTGCTCAATTCCCGAAGATCAACTATGATGACTGCAAGCTTGGTTGTTGTTTATATGATTTATTTAGGAACATAATATTAGTGCTAAACAATTGTGAGAATACAAATTTGGATATGGTATCTGGAAGTGCAGTATATGAACTGTTTTGTTTAGGTACAGTTGTTTAGCCAAAAAACACAGTCAATACGTGAAAATACTTTAGTTACAGATTGGAGAACTTGGAGCACATTACCTCCGTAATTACGTTGTGTACTTCGTAGATGGTGCATGTTGCTAATAAGTCTTGGGTTTATTTAGCAATATTTCGTATACCAAAACGCTTGACCTGCGGGGTACCGAGCAGGTTGCTAATTTGGAACTTATATTACTAAAAACGGACCATAATAAGTTGTGAACTGATAGTCATTGAATAATAAGCTTTGCTCATTTACGCAAACTGTAACGTCACGTTTCATCCATTCTGTCAATCCTTACAATAATGGTGGTAAGAGGGATTCAATATGTGCTTTATCAACTTCTGCACACCTGATTATTAAATTCTCGGAATACTTTATATCATCCTTAGTAAACTGTGAGCCCCCACTTATTTAGTTTAAGTTGTATGTGCAGATCCCACCAGAGGATATCCAATGGGAAGGTGATGATCCGGGTTTGCCTCATGGAGGAGGCCATGGTGGACAAGGACGTGGCTTTAAGAAGTCATCAAGCCGAGGTGGTGTTGTTCCTGGTGCTGGTAGAGGGCGACCCGTGAAGAGTCAACCAAGGAAAGATTTTCTTCCGGCACAAAATGGGAATGCACAGAGAGTTTCAGATGATATTGAATTACTTAACACTGACGCATTGGTAAAGGAGGTATGATATGGAGGACTTGAGCGAATACATTTACTGTGATGTTAGTTATATACAATTACATTACAATTGTGTTATTTCAGGTGGAGACTGTTTTCAGCGCAAATCATCCAGATCCCTTTGAGCTGGAAAAGGCAAAGAAAATGCTGAAAGTAAGCCTAAACCTGCAATATATCTCTCATTTTCCTCCCCAGCGAAGAAGAAAGGAAGGGAGAAAAAACTAGAAGTTGCTAACTCGAAATCCATTTATGAAAGATTTCAATGCAATCTATCAATATAGTAATAATAACAGCCCAGCATTAAAAGTTTGTTTGTTACATGCATTGCAGGATCATGAACAAGCATTGATAGATGCCATTGCGAAGCTTGCATATGCATCCGATGGTGAAAGTGGTAATAATAAATATGCATGGAAAAAAATTTCCTGCATTTTTCTTGTACATTGCGAGTTTTCTTCATTGGGACTATAGATTCAAACAAATAATGATTAGTATTTGCTTGTTTGCTGGGTTATACTAATCTTTTTCTGCGCACTTCACGCAGATGGTGAGCATCCATCTCCGTACGGTCAAGCGATCGAGAGAGAATGAGGAAAGGAATGTTAGTGTTGAAGACAATCGCTAAATTTGAGACTAGGATGAGCTCAAGGGAAAATGGTAGTTTGGAAGCTGGTTTTGATATTTGGCAGTAGAAGAGAAGTTTCCTGTGCACTAGGTAGTGGGTGATATTGCTAATAATATATCATTTTTATTGATCTTATTATTTTGGGTGTCCATCTCTTAATTAGTCTGATTTTGGAGAAAACCCCCAATTTCTTTCTTTCTTTTTATTGTTACACCTTTTAACTCTAGGACAAAACACTTGTAAAAAAGGATCTTATTGAGTGCCTAATTTCCATCATGTGCAATCCAGAGTAAGTGATGGTTAGTAAGGAACAGTTTTAAGATTATTAATGTAAAGAGGGTTGTGTTGATTTCTCATATCTTCTGTTTTTTCTTTCTTTTAGCATGTCTGTAACTAATCACACCATCCCTTGCGTACGGAAATTCAAAATGGCTATTATACATGTAAAAACCACAAAATATCCGGTTGAAGAAAAAAATAATAAACAATTTAAAATATTCGGTTTATGGTTCGTTACAGTGTTTTTTCTAATAAAAAATACACGTAAATAAAAAATAATTTTAATCACATAATTTTAATGCATAAACCAAACGTCTTCTATATGTTTGATTGTTGTTGTGCAATGAGATCAATCAGAGTCCCCGTTATCCGCCCCATAATGAAGTGCACATAATAAAAAAATAGGAAAGCAAATAAAGATCTTCATTCTTAAAATAAATAAATAATGAGAAGGAACAAAAATAAAAAAGGAGAATGAGTTGGCACAGTTTGTCCTTTGAACATTTTCTTCGTACTAGTCAAATTAAATTTTCAAAATTTGAAACTTTTCCGCCATTATTTTTTAGGACAAATTATACTTTCTCTTAGAATTATTAGCCTTATAACAAAATGTCTCTTCAATTTTAAAAATAACAAAATTTTCCTCTGAACAATTAGTCGTTAGCATGCGTCTCTTTTCTGTTCTTTCAGTTAAATTTTGAACGTTAAGTGTCACGTGGAAGTCATTGGGGCATTTAATTTGTCTTCTATTATAAAATGACAATTTTGCCCATATACTCATCCCCTTCTCAGGTTCCCTTTTATTTCGTGGTCATTTCTGAATTTTGCCTTAATTCTCATTTCCCATCCCCTTCTCAGCCCTCTCTGATTTTGCCCAAATTCGACGAGAAGAGTCGCAGCCCTGGGTCACTCCACCTTGCCTGAGTTCATGAATGGCGGCCAAAAGTAGTAGTAGAGGTAGGAAGGGTTCGCACAGGTCTACAAGTATTGGGCCCAAATGTAGACAATGAGAAATTAATGAGGAGGTTCAGACTAGAGTGCATGCAAAATGTTATTGTAAGTTGGAATGTGTTGTGAAGATGGCAAGGACCCGATTAAATCCGGGAAGACTGTTTTGGGGATGTTGCTTATACAAGGTTAGTGTATAATTGTAAGTGAAAATATTGGGAAAAAATAAATAAATCATCCCTATGTGAATGTAATTCTGAAAAGTTTGTGGATTAATTTAGCCGAAAAAAATTAAATTTATAGGAATGGAGTTTACTGTTAGGACTAAAGATACTTTTGAGATTGAATTTGAGAAATAGGAATTTGACAATAAACAGAATATTGCCTCTTTTTTTAATAGAATTTTTGGGTGGTTAGTTTGGTATGGGATTGAGTTGAGATTTGAAAAAAGAAATTGCATTTAGAAAATTGGATAAAGAAATTTGTATAAGTTTGGCATGAGACTTGAATTTCAGAAATTGAATTTGAGATGAGATGATGAAGAAAGAGATTAGTACGAGACTTGAATTTTAAAAATTGGTATGAGTTGCCCCTGTTTTATTTTGAATTTCAAAAATTGGTATGAGTTACCTTTCTTTAATTTTGGGTTTTGTTTACATTGCCCCTTCTCAAGTTCCCTTTTATTTCGTGGTCATTTCTGGATTTTGCCCTATTTCTAACTCAACACAATAGATTACTTATTTGCCATTGAAATGAGTCACATGCCACTAACATGACACTTAACGTTCAAAATTTAACCGAATGGGCGGAAAAGGGGGACGCGTGCTAACGGCTAATTGTTCAAGAGAAAAGTTTGTTATTTTTAAAATTTAAGGGGCATTTTGTTACAAGGCCAATAGTTCAGGAGGAAAAAGTGTAATTTATCCTATTTCTTACTCTCCAGAAGGAAAATTATAAGTTCCAAAATTTTCAAGTGAGGCCTCCAGCAGTTTTTCATTTAAGGTGCGTTTGATTGTGGTGGGATAATGGTAATAGTAATGGGAATAAAAACGGTAATGGTAATGGAATAAAAAAGAAAATTGATTCATTTGTTTGGTTGTAATTTTAGAAATACTATAGAATGTAACATATTGATAAAATTACACTTATATTATATATAACATTAATATTATATATAAAAATATAAATAATATAATATATACAATGTAATATAATATAATATAATTATTATTATATAATATATTATAGAATTATGATATTAAATATAATAATATTATTAAAACTGTTAATATATTACAAGATTACATAATAAACAATAATATTTTAGTTATAATATAATTAAAACTTACAACTATATTATATTATACTATCATATATATAATTACAATATAATATATAATAAATATATTATAATTAATACATTATGTGGTGTAATACACTATAATATAATAGAT